ACTAATAAGTGGTGGGGGGTCTGAGGTTATGAGGCCCCCTTGGGCACTGCAGTGATAACGCACCCCTCGCCTCCACCCCTCTAGGCTCCTTGACTGCATGTGGGAGAAGCCCAGCTCATGCCCCCACTGACAGAGCCCTCTGGGTCCTAGAATTTTGCAAAGAGCTCCCTCTTCAATGTTCAACAAGGATGTGGTCTCACATCTCAAACAGTCAGTGAGAGACTCCAGGAATAATGGAGACCTGCGGCTGGGAATTCTTCTCCAACTCGCTCCTAGGTGAGTGGTGTGGGGAAAAGCATCCGTGTGTGTGGAACTGAATGCTTACCCAGAGGACCACGTGGCTGCTGTGAGCATGGCACCTCCTCCCTGAAACCCACACCATGACCCAAAGGCCACCACAGCCCAATGGCTGCCATTTGTCGCATACCTGCCATGTGCCGAGCGCTTTGTTATGCCCTGTTACAGGTTGCCTGTGGTCGCGTAGCTATTGAATATCAAGGGGTGTGGGTGAGTGGAAAGAGAGATGGCAGAAAGGAGGATTGGAATATAAGTCTGTCTGACTCGAACCCACATGCTTTCAGCCACTGAAGCTCTCCCTTAAGGGTGGGACTATGTCAGTGAGGTTTAACTCCATATGCTCAGAACTGTAAATAGAATGCACACACACACACACACACACACACACACACACACACACACACAATTGGGTTGGTCAACACTGAATGTAAAACGTGTACAATTATTAGAGCAGTAAACCTGAACTGGAGGAAGACAATGAAGGGAGGAAGAAAAGGATGGTAAATACATTGCGGAGGCTAAGGCCACGGGAACCCCTGAATCATGAGTCAGCACGCTGCGAGTGGACAGCTCCCCCTCCCAGCCGTGGGCTCCTAGGGGCCCCTCCCCGGAGGAAAGGGGCTCCGACAGATTCACGGGCGACGGGGGGTATCCACAAGGGTCTGAGATGGAACAAGAGGGGCCTTCAAGAAGATAGATTGACATCCCTTGATTGTGTTCTTCAGATCGAGTCCCCAGGGACAGAGATTTTGTTGGCTCAAATCAATCAGTGCTGTAGGCGCTCTGTGAAGAGGGCAGGCCCTAGGGTTTCCTCGCATCGATCGGGGAGACTTGGCAAGTCCTGCCTGAGCAGCAGAGAGATTGAAGAGACCAGAATCTGAGACATGGCCAAGGTGAGCGGACCTGCCTGAAATTCCACCATTATAGTCACTCTGGGTGGGCTTCCGTGCAGGTGCATGCACAGTCTTAGCCAGACGGGATAAGCGGGGACAGAAGAACAGGGCCCAGTGATCAGAGCTGGGGACGGGGTTATTCTGGAGACCGGAGCACGTGCCTGGGTGTCTAGAAGGGACAGGAGCGTCTTGAACAGCTGGCGATGGGGGTGAGGATACTGCGCGCTGGAGAGGACCACGGAAGGACAAAGCAGACTGGACTTCCTTCGTGATCTTGCTTAAGCCAGTTCAAGTGATGGAGGTCGGCTTTCCATGCCACACCCCTGCCAATGACTTCTCAGTTGACCGTCACCGACCACCTGTTAAAGCCCAGACTCTCTTGTTCTGCCAACAGTGACCCGTGGCCTGGCCTCTGCCAACATCCTCAGCCCCTGTTCATGACGCTCGGCATCTTTTGTGCTCCAGCCACGCTGAACTACCCGTGCAACCTTGTCACTGATCTCTGCACGTGCTGTACCCAGCACGGGTTGCCCTTCGCTCTTTCTCTCACTTAATTCCTCCAAATTGTCCCATAGGGTTCAATTCGATCGTCACCTTCTCTGAGGTGTCTTCCATGAATGCTACACTCTCACCCCAAATGTTTTAGTGAGCTGTTCCCTGGGGTGTCCCAAAGCCATCCCTCTGTATGGAAATTGCCTGTTTTAGCCTTTCCCTCACCCAGCGAGACTGTCTTCTGTCCATCCCTGTATCTCTGGCACCCAGCACAGAGCCTGGTGCAAAGCAGCCACTTGGTCAAAGCTCAGTGGAATCAAGGATAACGACTTTAAATTAACATCACGGAAGGCACATTCGGTACAGAAATTCACCAGATACCTTGCCTATCCTCGCAACGCTCCCGTTCAATGAGGGATCAATCAGCTACTCCATGCTGCTGAACTCTGCGCTTAAGAACGGTTAAGATGATAAATGTTAGGCTGGGTATATTCCACCACAACGAATAGCGCAAAAGCCCTGCGTGCAGAATCCGAGAGCCTGAGTTCGAATCCCAGCTCCACCAGAACCTGGCTGGGCGGCGACGGCCTCAGTCGCCTCTGCTATAAAATGGGGCTAATTCCCAGAGTGGGAAGGCTTTATCTTTTGAGGTCCGTTCCAGGTGAAGGATCTGGAACTTTTTCACATCGTGCCTGCTCTGTGATCAGAGTTGGCACATAAAAGGCACAAAGTATCCAGCGGGTGCCCACCTAATGAGTGCACCTCATTAGGAAAGACGGCACCCTTGGGTCAATGAGAGGCACGTATTAGGCACACAGGGGACTTCGTCAAGGCCCGGCTTACACCCTAACAATCAATTCTCTCTGCTGCCATCTAGTGTCTCATGACCATATTGACCTTCTCTGGCTGTCAAACTCGTCTTCTTAAATCCTGAGGTCTTAACTGCTTTGCACACAGAGGCTGACAGTTGGGCCACCCAAGCACGTGTTCATGTATAATTCATGGTGTATCACGTTGCCTGGCAAATGAATATTTATCAGCTTTTTCATAAGAGGCAGGATGGTGTTTCCTTTTGTTGCTACCAAAATTCTATGCTGTAGCAAATGAAATTTGTGAGCAAATAAAAAGAGAATAAGAAGGAGCGAAAACTCCCAGCCAAGTCCATTCCACTTGTAATTTTCCATTTTCCGAGGCCCTCCAGCATGTGTATGGAGGTGGTTTCAGTTTGGCTACAGGAGAGAACTGCTGAGTCGTCCAGAATAGAATCGTCCCATATGCTGTACCTATTGCCCCCGCAGAAAACTCCCCCACACCCCACTTCTGTGCTGTTTTGGATGGCAGACGAGCCCCAGACCCTTTCCATGGCTTCCCTCCAGATGCTCTGAACAGAGATCAAGTTTGGGGTGAGCCAGGATAAGGAACCCCGAATGAAGACTGGTCCAGACTGGACGGTGGCATCGAGCCAGGCAGTCTCATGACTTCCAGACTGGGCTGCCACCAAGGGAGAGGATGCCCCTGCAGCAGCATACGAGCTGGGTCTGATGCCCCCCCCCCCCCATGGTGGGTGAGGAGGGCTACGTAGAAGGTACTGCCCTGTCTGCAGGAGGTGACCCGTGCCCTGGTCCTCACTGCAGAGAAGAGCCAAGAAGGGGCCTAAGAACTGTGACTTTGTTTACCCTTCTTTCCTCATGACTCCCTGATGGAAGATCCCCGTGCTGATGATCTCGGACATGCACGGGCACACTCGCCTGGAGGCGGAGTCTCAACGTGGTTGTGAAAATGGAGTCTGGGTGGCTTGGCTACCATCACTCTGGCCTTAAGAGGATGCTGATACGCAAACTGATGCTAACGTTGATGACAGTAGTTTACATACACGGAGCCCTCACTCTGAACCCGGCCCTGTGTCAAGCACGTGAACTCCACTATTGCGTGTGATCCTCAAACACCTTCTGTAGGTGGCCACTGTTGTCGTGCCCACCTCACAGATGCCATAACCGAGGCAGAAAGATGATGTCGCTTGCTTACACGCACACGGCCCCAGCTAGGAGTCACCTGCAGGTCTGTTTGACTCTGGAGGCATGCTTTCTCGACTGCCCTCCCTGGAAGCCAGAAACTCAGGTTCAAGGACAAAACCCACAACAGCACTTGGCTGTGTGGCCTCAGGGGAATCCATTCATCTCTCTGAGAAAATCACTTTCTCATCTGCAAAAAAGGATACAATAGCGCTCACTTTGCAGGGCTACTGGGAGGACGCGGGGCTTTGCAGATTCTAAAGGGCTCTGTAACCGTTGATAGGCCAGTGGCCGTTCTCAGTGGAAATATTTATTGATGGTTTGACACTGGGGTAAAGACAAGGTCCCAGCCACAGGGGTATAGGAGTTTATGGTGGATGTGCAGACAGGAGACACACAGGAGCAGAAATACAAGGTTAGGCATTTGTTTTCATTCATTCATTCATTCATGCATTCATGCATTCATTCATGCATCCATCCAACAATGGACTGAGCCCTTGCTAAGACCCAGAAAACACATAGGACATGTAAATAATTTCAGACAAGGGAAGTGCTACACACACATTAGAACAGGATGATATCACGAGGCTAAGCTCTGAGCCGGCATCTGAAAAGCAAGATGACACTAGCCACACAAAACACTGAGGGAAGTGTGCTCCAGGCAGAGGGAACAGCCAGTGCAAAGGCCCTGAGGTGGTGTTCACGGCGATTCTCTAAGAAGTATGGGCTCCGGTATGAAACACGTCCTGAATATTGGGGACCATGAAGCTCTCCTTTCATGGACTACTCCGGGAACAGTGCCAGTGCTGAGTTGGAACTCCTTTTGAAAACGATGGCTTCGCACCTTCCTAGGGGCCCTCCTAGTGGCACATGCCCGCATTCTTTCCCTGAAGTCCGTCATGCAGGCCTTCAGGAGGGCCATTCCTAAGTGACAGGGCAGGGGGGGCAGTCGGGAGCAGAGGTCTGAAACAAACCTCACACCGCCCTCGGGGCGCCTGGGTGGCTCAGTCGGTTAAGTGCTCGACTCTTGGTTTTGGCTCAGGCCATGATCTCACGGTTCGTGGGCTCGAGCCCCACTTCAGGCTCTGTGCTAACCGTGTGGAGCCTGCTTGAGATTCTCTCTCTCTCTCCCTCTCTCTCTCTCTCTCTGCCCCTCCCCTGTGCATGCTCTCCCTCTCAAAATAAATAAATAAACTTAAAAAAAAAAAAAAAGCTCACTCGGCCCTCATCTTTGCCCCCAGGGCCCAGGCCTCAGATGCCCACGGGTCCAGATGCCCCTCTCCACCTCCCCCACTGCCCCACATACCTTCCTCTCGTCTATGCCCTCGGAGGCCGACGTGAGCTTCTTCATGAGGACAGGGTCCAGCACCTGGAATCTCCGGCGGAATTGAGCGAGCCCCACATGGTCAGCATAGCCTGGGGGTGGGGTAGGGAGCAAGCAGAACGTGGAGTCCAGGTGAGAAGGGCAGCCCGGGGCCTGGATTCACAGGCAGCCCCCGCCCTGCTCCCAGCCTTGAGGCTCATTTGCTGGGCAAACTCCCTTCTGGGGCCTCAGTTTCCCCATTTGTTAAGAGATCGAATTCAGTCAGCATTTCTCAAATATGTTCCCTAGAACACCAACCCTATAAAGTGCTCCACTGAAGGGCACCTGGGGGCTTGGTTCTGTTGGTTAAGTGTCTGAATCTTGTTTTCATGCTCAGGACTTGATCGCACGGTTCGCGGGTTTGAGACCCGTGTCTGTCTCTGCTCTGACAGCACGGATCCTGCTTGAGATTCTCTCTCTCCTCCCTATTCTGCCCCTTCCCCACTCATGCCCTCTCTCTCTCTCTCTCTCTCTCTCTCTCCTAGCAAATAAATAGATAAAAATTTCCACTGAATCTCAGGGCGCCTGGGTGGCTTACTCGGTTGAGCATCCGACTTCAGCTCAGGTCACGATCTCACAGGTCAGGAGTTCAAGCCCCGCATCGGGCTCTGTGCTGACAGCTCAGAGCCTGGAGCCTTGCAGTTCTGTGTTCTCCCCTCTCTCGCCCCTCCCTAGTTCACACATTCTGTCTGTCTGTCTCTCAAAAATATATAAACATTGGGGCGCCTGGGTGGCTTAGTTGGTTAAGCATCTGACTTCATCTCACGGTTTGTGGGTTCGAGCCCCGCATCAGGCTCTGTGCTGACGGCTCCAGAGACCTGGCGCCTCTACTGATTCTGTGTCTCCCTCTCTCTCTGCCCCTCCCCCATTCACACTCTGTCTCTCTCTCTCTTTCTTTCAAAAATAAATAAACATTAAAAAAAATTAAAAATATAGATATGTGGGCAAGCCCTGGGTGAAAAATTGAAGTGCGTCGACTCAGCCAGGAGTCACCCGATCTCCAGGTCCGGGAGTTGAGCCTGGCAGGACTATGAGGCTGATGGCTCAGGCCTGGAGCCTGTTCCTGTCAGTGTCTCCCCCTCTCTGCCTCCCCGCCTTGTTGTGTCTCTGTCTGTCCCATAAATAAATAAAAACGTTGAAAAAAAAATTTAAAAAAAAAAATAAAAATATAGATATGTATAAAACACTAAAAATTTTTTAAAAAGTGTTCCACTGAACATATGGAGAAGCAGCACTGTGATCTGCCCTCTGGGTCACGTTGTGGGCCAGGATCAATGCCCAAGGCTCTGTGGACCACCGCAGGAAGATGTGGGATCGGTTTCGCTTAGAACCTGTTTGACCACAGGGGAAAAAAATGTTTTTTGGTCCAATACTTATGCCCACCCCACTTGTGGGAAATGCTGCATTGAGTATTTTCTAAGGGTTTTTTTCAAAAAATCTAACATGCAGGATGGACACAGGAGTACCCCTCTGTGTGGAAACTCCCGAGAGTTTGCTGAAAAGTTCTCTGGAAAGCTCCCGAGAGAAGGTGACATTACAGGCGGCCTCTGCAGGAGCCATAAGAGTTTGTCACAGGATTGGGTGTGGAAGGGGTGTCTGGGCAGAGGGAGCCAGAGAGGGGTGACCCAAGGCTGGCTCCTCGGTCATAGCAGAAACCAGCATTTGCTGAGCACAAGACACTAGATTAACAACTTCCTTGTGTTATAGGCACTCAGGGGCCTCTATCATTATACCCATTTTATAGATGTGGAGAATGAGGCTCAAAGAGTTCAAGTCGCCTAGCCCAAAGCAGCATGGATAGTAACTCTCCCATCTGGGATTCAGACCCGGACAGAGACTATAACCAATCCAGGGGGCAGTAGCCAATAGTGAGGTCAAAGGTGAGCGGGGACCAGATCCCAGAGGGACTTGAAGTCAAATTGCAGGCCTCAAGGTTTGGACTGCATCCTGAAGACAAGGGGCACGGTGGACCCTTGGTTGATTCAAAAAGACCCCTTCACTGGCCAGATGAGTGAAGGTCTGGTGAAATCTGACTCCACTCTGGGACTCCACAAATGCACGAACCACGAAGAAGGGTGATGGTGGTAGGTACATGTGATGAATCCAGGGTGCCTTTCTGGGGGAAGAGGATGTGTCAGGCCAGGTTCCCAGGATGCTGACTGCGCAGATACGAGGTTACACGCGTGCCCTTTCGAGACAGAATGATCTGGGTTCGCATCCCATTTCTGCCCTTATCAAGTGACCCCATCTCTTTGAGATTCAAGTTCTTCATTTGTCAGGTGAGGATAACAAGTTCTGGGCAAGGGGTCACTCTAAGGATTGAAACAGATGACTGACAGAGTAACAGATACTAACACGGATTGATGCTGTTCCATATCCAGGCAACTCTTCTAGGTGCTAGCCTCTTATTAACTCACACACTGCTCATCAGCTCTCTGACACCTGAGCTATTAAGGCAGAGGAAAGAGGGACATGATCTAGGGACTTGCCTGCTGTTGGCCACAGTCAAGGGCAGGCCAGCTGCCTCCGGGGCCTGAGCCACGCCCACCAAGCTGTACAATATGTAAGGTTTAATGAGCATTTACTATATGCCAGGCGCTGTGCTAAGAGCTTGGTAAGAATGATGTCAGTTAGTGGGGCGCCTGGGTGGCTCAGTCGGTTGGGCGGCCGACTTCAGCTCAGGTCCTGATCTCGCGGTCTGTGGGTTCGAGCCCCGCATCGGGTTTTGTGCTGACAGCTCAGAGCCTGCAGCCTGCTTCTGATTCTGTGTCTCCCTCTCTCTCTGCCCCTCCCCTGCTTGTTCTCGGTCTCTTTCTCAAATAATAAACATTAAGAAAAAAAAAAAGAATGACGTCAGTTGGTATGTATAATGACACAATGCCAGCACATCATAAGTACTCAATATCCTGCATACATTTGTGTGTTTTATGTGTGCACACTGGCGTATGCATGCATGAATTATATGTGCATGAATTCGAAATCATAAATATTTGACATGTGTATGCATCCATGTGTCCACGCAAATATTTCTTCTATGGTGTAAGAGAGACAGAAGCCAGTTTGAGCAGGAAAAAAAAAAAAAAAGAAAATGACCAAGCCCGGGAGGCAGAAAACAGTTTTATCACGAGACCTCAAATCTTTACTTAGTTGGAAAATTCGTCCTGCCCCAGGCAGGCCACACCAAGAATGAAGAGGGCAGAAGCCCACCACAGTGAGACCCAAGGTCGAGGACGGGGACGGCTGAGCTAAGCAGGCGCAGAGGGGGGGGGGGTTCAAATGGTGTCTTCAAAGGCCCAGCACCCCCTGCCAGCCAGCCAGCCAGAATCAATCGGCCACCACTGTGACCATTTTGCGCTTCCCCTGTGACATTGTCACCCCTCGACTGTGGTTGCGCGGGCAGGAGGAAAAATCAATGAGGCGCTCAGAGAAGTGAGGGTCTCGTCTTTGCTTCCAGCTGCTTCCAGCCAAATGTCTGGTGCCCGGGGTGGGGTTACTAACACGGCGGGAGGAGATGGGGCCGTGGCCACAAGCCAGGTGTCAGTGACCACAGAGATGTTTAACGAGCAGGGGCCCGCCAAGCCAGCCTCCCCACTGGCCCATCACCCCATCCTCTGCAGAGACAATGGCCATGCCTGAGCCGTTTCAAATGTCAGGGACGGGGATCCATGCAGCGGCCGCTGGGGGCCGAGAGGGCGAAAAGAATCAGAAGGATTCAGAGAGAATTCGACTCCTAAGATGAGCTATGTGGAGACCTTGGGCGCATGGTTGCCTTCTGTAATATAGACCTAAAGAGTTCATTCCTCTGATTGAACCCTCGTCTTCTCCTTGCCACCTCCTTATCTCTTCAGCTCGATCCAGGGAAAGCCAGACCTCCAAAAGTGGACAACCTGCCTCAACGGCCATGACCGCCCCACTCATTTTGAACCCCAGTCCCTGAAAATCCAGGCTCTTCCCTGCCTCAGGACCTTTGCATATGCCGATCTGTCTGCCTAGCTTTCCACTCCAGACATGAGCTGCTTGCTTTCCATCGAGACCCAAGTAAGATGATACCTCTTCCAGAGGTTTACCCAGTCTCTCCAATGAGAGCACAGGGCTCCCTCTTCTATACATCTTGTACCTCCTGCATCCCCATGTGACAATGCAGGCCCCCGTCACATGTCCCCACTCTGACCTCCCAAACCACGCTGAGCATCTTGAAGACCAAGGTATTGCTCGTTGTGCGAATTTCATTTTCTATTCCTAGACAGAAGCTCCCTGGACGTTTGCTCTAGAAAGGAAGATGAGCAGGTCACAGCCCCAGCCTTCCAGGGGTGCACACGCCCTTCAGGAAATAAGAGAGGCTTCGGACTCAAGATCTAGGTCTGATCCAGGCTCTGCCTTGACCCAACCGTGTGACCCTGAGCAAGTCCCCCACCTCTCGGAGCTTCCGTTTTTCCATCTGAAATCATAGCTCCCCCTTCACAGGCTTATTATTTCACAGAATAAACGGGATGCTGGATGGAAAGTTCTGGCACATCGTTCGTGCTCCTGGGAGTTCCTTGGCTGCCACCAGTTAGCGGGCACGTCCGAGGAGTCAGACATAAGGTGCTTGCTCCCTGGCTGTCTCTTACCTGCCCTGTGTAGACGCAGTGCCTCCAGGACGCAGGACCCCGCAAGCTGCACCCTCAGCGCAGGGATGTCCAAGGGCAGAGGTCCGCCTGTTCCGGGCTTATCTCCACCAGGCTGCGGTGGGGTCAGAGACCCCTGCCCGCCTCTGCTCTCCCCCGCGGGGCCCGGCACAAGGCAGTGGATGAAATGTATCTGAGACCGTCTGATCATGCTGGTCAGTGCATCCTAGGAACAAGAGGATAGGGGGTTAAAGGCCTGCTGTCTCAGGGTAAGATGGACAGGGACGCTCCCCCAACATACATTCAGCCTAGCCTGGGCACCTTTGGGGGTCCCTGTGTCCTATACCAAGGACCTCCTATTTATGGCCTGATTCACTCATGAGAAATAGGGGGACTTTATCACAGCCCCTATAACCGATGGGGAAACTGAGGCATACAGAAGGCAAACACAAGAGGGCCCCGGGTCACACAGACCACGAGCAGAAGAGGCGGGCTAGAACCCAGGACCTACTCCTACAGGCTTTTCCTGTATAATCTGCCACGGGGATTTTTCCAGAACTTGTCCTGCCACGTCCCACTTTCTGGACTCAGTCTGGCCACTGACCAATCGAAGTGCTCTCGTCTGCTGTCGGATTCGTGTATCTAGGTCCCGTATTTCCAGCCAGTGCGAGATCCTGCAGCCCTCCCCCAGGGAGAGCCGCGTGGTGAAAACATAAGCATTTGGGAGGCGGGGCTGGTCTGGCTGTGATATTTGTCACTCTGGTCAAGAGGGTATTCCTGGTCCCTGGGAACTTCCCAGAGCTGCTCAAGGCAACCCCAAGTAGGCCAGGCTTTGGCCTCAGACTTGGACAGATCACCCCGGCCCCAGGGATGTGACGGCAGACGTTCCTTCGCTGCTCTGAGCCTCAGCTTCCCCCTTTGTGGAGCGCAGGGGGACGCCTGCCCCTCCAGGCTTGCAGAGGAGGCTAGAGGTGATTCGGGTTGACAACTCATCCTGGAGGAGGGCAGGGAACGTGGCAGTGGAGGCCCCGGCTCCGTGGGGACAGGGCTGCCGCTCACCATCTGCAGCTTGATCTGGGAGCACGGCGCTTTCCTCTTGACCGCGGCGAAGCTGCTGGCAAACGCCTTCCTCACCGTGCAGCTCCTCTGTAGGGCCTGCTGGGAGGTGCCCTCCAGGCCGGCCACGGCCCGGCACACGGGGGGCAGCTTGGCCCGGGCCTGGAACAGACTCCTCAGATCCTCCCTGGCGGGCAGGAGGCAAAAGAGAGAGGGACTTTAGGGGCTCATGGGGGACGGGCCCACCTTGCTTCTTGCTAATCTGCTTCCCGAACCATCCCCTTGAATCACACATCCTAGCTGCTACGCTTTCATCCACGGGGCCTCCTGCCAGGCGAGCCTTCGCTTCGTGGCAAACGCCAGCTTCTTTCTCCATAGCAACAGGAAGATCTAACGGACGGTCTTGTCACTGATACACCTGCAAGGATCCCACTGAGCCTGCACTTTCAGAGGGACAGAGAGAGAATCCCAAGCAGGCTCCACACCGTCAGCCCGGTGCCCGACGCAGGGCTCGAACCCACGAACCGCGAGATCATGACCCGAGCCGAAATCCAGACTGAGCCACCCAGGCACCCTGCCTGTGCTTTTCTTAGCGAAGTCATCTTGGTTCTCCCTAGAACAGGCCCAGCTCATAGCGGGTGCTGAGGATACAATTCATGCCAGAATGAGTAACTGACGGGCTCAGCAGGCAGTTTCTGGACCTGCGAGGTCCCGTGGGTGAAATGTCCCACCCGATGGCCAGCAGAGGACAGTGCCCTCCCTCGGCACTCCTGTAACGCACAGGTGCAGGCCCAGGACTCCTTAAGCGTCTGCTCTGATAAACCTGAACGGCCCTGCCTTCTTGTCGGGGCCAATAAGGACTAGGAAGGCTGGGCACACCCTGCTGTGCCCTCGGAGGAGGCTGGGACCCAGAGGGAGCCTCTGGCCTCCCGCGTCCCCTCTGCCCCATCCCTTCCAGTCAAAGGACGCAGGCAATTTCTGTCACTCTCTGCAAGTCCAGGCTGCATGCCAGCCCCAGCCCTGAAGCCACATTACCTCCCTCCCTCCGTGCCTCACCGAACTATCCAAATTGTTAAGGAACCATCTTGTCCAAACGATCCAAAGGTATTTCAAGTGGTTAAGTGCCTGGCAGAGCACAAAGATTAACACTGGCTTCACTACCCTGGTGTTGAAATAAAAATCTGAGGGAGGAGGCTGTATGAGCCCCTCCTACTGGAAGCAGGAGCCCCGCGAGGAGAGGTCAGGGCCCTGGGGCATGTGGGCACCACCCCCCCCCCCCGGTACAGGGAGAGGAGGCTGTGCCCATGACCCTGCCCCCCCGTATGTGGATTGCCCCATCTCTGTGGCTAGTAGATCTGACTTCTGGCGTTCAACGGGAGGTGTGCCCTTGGGCAGGTCACGTCTGCTTTGGGCCACAGCTGGAGATCAATATATATATGGAACAAAATGCTTTGACCGCAGCAGTGAAACTTGAGTGTGCTTGTCAGCAAAACAAGTCCCCAGAGAGATCAAGTGGGGCCCAGGAATCGGAATGTTAGACCAGCAGTGAATCCGGTGAATCTGACACTCTTGGGGGCGGAAGCACACTCTAAAAAAAGCACTGTTTGCTCTCAAAAACCACCAATGCTTGGCTCTCAAACACACAAGACACCCTAACGGCACTTACCCTCGAAGTTGCTGTGTTTCTCCGCCCCCAAGGGCCACGGCCTTATACACACTGTTCCTTCTTCCCACAGTGTCCCTCCCTCGCCAGGCCATCGGGCCAACAAAATCTGGCTTCCCTCTTTCTAGGGGACCAGAGCCATGGGAAGTTAGAGCAAGAAGTGACACAGGGGCCACAGATGCGTGTTGAGGGCCTGCTATGAACCAGGCTCCTTAATGAGCCATCCGTGACGCTGTGCCACCCAAGTGTCACGTCAAACACGTAAGCCTGGCCCTATCGCTCCCACTTCTTGGAGTATGGAACTGAGGCCCATGTCATGCAGCCTAAACGAGGCGAAAGCAGAATTTGAACATTTGCCTGACCTCAAATCTGTGCAATATCCACAGATCATGCAGCCTCGTCCAATAAACACTTATTTTGTGGAAGAGGAAACAAAACAAACAAACAAACAAACAAATAGACCCAAGGGAGAGAAAGTGACTGCCCATGGTCACCCCGGTGGGGAGGGCAGGGCTAGGACTTGACCCTGGCCCCCTGGTCCTCCATGCTGTCCTCTGTGTGCTCACCGACCTTCCTTGTGCCCCTGCTCCCTGACTTGATCTCCTTTCAGGACCTGTGTGCCCTTGAACCTGCCAGCACACTGGGCTTTCCAATCAATTGGGACCATAATGTGCATAGAACTTCTACAGGGACGATCTAGACCCCAAGCGTGTCCCAGCTCTGCCACTCTTTTGCTGTGTGATCACAGGAGAGCCATTCACTGACTGGGGCCTCGGTTTTCTCATCTGTGAAATGGGGCTAAGGAGGCAGTGTTGTTGCCAGGAGTAACCAGAGGCTTATCAACCGTCTATCCTGATGCGGGGTGCACAGCGGGTGGTCCCTAAGTGTCTCCTCCCCATCCGCACGCCCCCAGCACCCCTCTGGTTCTCTCAGCTTCTCTTCTGTGTCCAGCCCTGCCCCCGCAGGGCGGGAGCGGTGGGGCGGGGAGGATCGGGATGCATATTTGCGTGCGTGCGCGCACAGGCACAGGGCAGCATTTTCCAGTAACTGCGGGCTGCAAGCAGCCGTGGCTGTCAGCCCTCCTGAGCAGAGCCGTCAGGGATTGCAATGGGCCGCTTTCCTTTTCTAACACCACAAAACGTTATCACTTCAGTTTTATGACCCCCGAGTCCTAGGATGTTCATAAAATCGTTCCAGTCACAGCATCTCCCAGATACTTAATGAAAGGCACAAGGCCAAAATAAGAAGTCTCTGCCTCTTTTTTTTTTTTTTTTCTGCTTTTGTGCCACCTGCCCCAGAAGCTAGCTTTTCTCTTCGGCTAGACTCACGCTGGTCCCAGGGACACACTGCCCCGGAGGGATGGGGTTCCCTCACTCACTGGGTTGTGGCGACGGCATGGCCCCGGGGGAAGAAGGGAACCGCAGGGCACCGAATGCCCCTGGCTGGCTCCGATCCCCGCCGGGCTCACCTCTTTGACTGCTGCAGCACCGAAGGGGCATCCAGGGCCGAGAGGTTGGGCTTGCCTCTATGCAGCCAGCCCGTGAGGTCATAGCGCACGGGGTCCTGTCCCAGCTGGTGGAAAATCTCGAACTGGAGGGGCTGCTCACAGGCCCGAAGGGCAGAGGTCCCTGAAAGCAGACAGAGCACGTGAGCGTTGGGGGCTCAGGCAGGGAGGACACTCGGGAGGTGCCTGACATCCCCCAGAACACACTTTCTTCACGTAACTATGTTTCCAGACAGCTAAACCTACCGGTGCTGGGCACCAACATCTCGCCTGCTATACGTAGGTACGGATGTACGTCTGCGCGTTATTGCCTTTCTAAAAACAATTTTTTAATGTTTATTTATTTTTGAGAGAGAGACAGAAGGTGAGCAGGGGAGGGGCAGAGAGAGAGAGGGAGACACAGAATCCGAAGCAGGCTCCGGGCTCCGAGCTGTCGGCACAGAGCCCGACGCGGGGCTGGAACTCATGGACCTCGAGATCGTGACCTGAGCCAAAACCAAGAGTCAAGACGCTCAACCGACTGAGCCACCCGGCACCCCATGCTATATTTTCTAATACTCATGGAAATAGATACATAATTATTAAGTATTTTGAAAATCACTTTGAAATGGCATCAACCAAATAAGTGCACAGCCTACACTTGGGAGACGCTGACTGGCACTTGGTCACAAGGGGCAGCGCGGGGGAGCCCGAGGTGCTTGGAGCTTCGAGAGAAGGTCTGCATTCAAATCCTGACTCTTCCTGCTACTACCGTGTGTCAGGGGCCAAACCTCTTAAGTCTCTGACCCTCTGTCTCTTCCTCCGTGAAATGCAAATTATACATACCTCCCGGGGTGACATAAATCTTAAAAGAGATAACGTGCGTAAAGAATGTTGGCAGTGTGCCTGGCACACAGTAGTTGCTCAGTAAGCCGTAGTGGGCGTCCCAGCCACTTCCTGCAGTTGACCTTGTGCGGATGTTCTGGAGCCACAAAGCATGTATCTCCGTATTCCCAATATTCGGCGTCTCGTGCCTGGTAGACGCGAATGGAGCCCGGAAGTGCTTGTGGAAGGAATGAATGAGCGAATCCTAGTCATGAGTCAATCACGTCACTCTGACTGCGGTGAGCTCTCAGGTTGAGAAATGGACCGGACCCGGACCAATTACCATCAGGAGCGGTAGTATTGTTTTGGTTCTTCCACGTATTCCGAATTTCTGTGAGTTCCCTTCCTCCTACTGTCCCAGGGTCCTGAGTCCTTTCCTCAAAGGCTGATTTTCCACTGCTCGGCTGCCGTGAGCTAGGAAACAGGAAACCTGCGTTTCCCGGAATTCTGTACGCAGTCAACAGACTCTGAGGGTCTGCAGATGAGGAGGGGACATGGCTTCTGCACTCGTGTGTGGCTTCTGAGAGGCCCTTTGTGTTCAATACCCCAGGGCTGACCGAGGTCACCAGCAAGGGGCACTTGTGATGAAGTCAAGTCTTTCTTCCTCAAGTGCTTCCTGTGAGGCCTCCAGGGCCATGCAGTCCCTGCCCTCAAGGGGTCACCTTCCAATGAAAGCAATGACAAAGCGTCTTGACTGGAAGCAGCTTGAGGGCAGAGACCACGTTCATCCACAGTTATGTCTAGCAGCCAGCACAGAGCTGGGCTCTGAATGAGGACCCCAAGAGCATTGGAGGAGGAGGAGGAAGCAAAGGCAAGAGAGAAGAAAGGACATTCGTGTTTGCTAAGCCCCAGCCAGCTTCTGCTGCACATACTATGTGCATGATGTCCCTCGATCCCGCTCAGGTCTGTCACGTGAACATCGCTGGGCTGGTTTTCTAGAAGGTGACAGGGAGGTCCAGAGATGAGACAGCTCGGCTGAAGTTGCATAGCACGTGTGGGCAGAGCCGGGGAGAGGATACGGGTCTGCTGGCCCAAAGCCTGTGTTCATCCGGGTGGTGGATGGGTATGTGGAGGCATCACAGCCCCGGGAAGCCACTCCCAGGCTCCCAGGGGGCCCGCTCGGTCCTCTCGCCTTCCCCCTTCTTCAGAGGTGATTTCAACCACAGTGTTGTCCATCCAAGCACTGCGGGGGCAGCTCTCGCTTTCAGGAGCCCCAAGGAAACGGCGGTAAGACAGAACCTGACTCGGTGCACCTCCCTCGTGTCTCTCCCAGAAGCCCGAGCCCCCAGACTGGGGTAGGGGACTCTCGGGCCCCTGCGATCCCAGCAGCCACCCTCTATGTCTGCACTGTGAATGCCTGTCGCCTGTCTGCCGGCCTGGGCTCCGTGGGGGCTGCCTGCTGGCACGGCAAAGACACCTTCGTTGAGAAGTAACAGCAAAAGCACCGGGTTAGCCAGAAAGCCCCACGTGTTCTGCCTGATGGAACATTCTCATTAACTCTGAGCTCCCCAGAAAGCCCTAGAGACAAAAGACCTTTTTATTTGTCACCAAAATATCTGAATTAATGGGTCTATCTCGGTGGGGCCAGGACTGGAACATTGTCTCCCTTGGAAACTGACAAGCCTCAGGACAGCCTGCTCGGGGTGTCTGGGATCGGCACGTCAGACCTCATGGGAGAAGGAGCAGGTGCCACAGATCTCCCTGAATCCCCCCCTGCCCTAGCCATACCCTACATGACACCTTCTCCCTCCGACCCGACTCGGGTGTCATTTGCCTAAAAGTCAGGATCCAGAAAACATTCCATTCGAGGAATCCATTTCATTCGACTCCGGATCATCGGGTTTTCACATATACATCCATTCTGTATCAAGGATTCATTGTAGTCTTTGGGCCAGCATCATCCTGGCTGACGCAGGCAGAGGTGACCACCCAGCCCCTGTCCTCTCGAGCCTGACATTCCCATGAGGACAGATGCGTGATGTCCAGTGGGAGGGCTGCAAGGGAGAAGGGAAAAACAGAGAACAGGAAGCATTCTAGGCAGAGGGAACTGCCAGTGCAAAGGCCCTGAGGCGGGAGTGTGCTTGGGGTGTTTCAGAAGCAGCCGAGAGCGTGGTGTGACTGGAACAGTGACTGGAACAGAGCGATGGAGGAGAGGGGAAGGGAAAATGGCAGATGTCCACGGAGGGCTTGCTGGGTCCCAGGCATAAGAGAGATAGCCGAGAACAAGACAGAGGGGCACCCTGCACCCTCATCGATCGTACAGGGTAGTTGGGGGACGGAGGAGAAGCCAGGGAAGAAGCAAACATTCCAGAGCCTGGAGAGGCCCCTGAAGGAAATAACCAGGAGGTCAGGGTGGGTCAGAGGGGCTGCAGAGGGGACAGCTTCAGACAGGGGTCCAGAAGGTCTCTGAGGAGGACAAGGCACAAAGGCGAGGGAGGAAGATGTAGAAATCTCTTGCACACCTTAGCTCATCCGTCCTCACACGAGCCCCCTGAGGTGGTGTTACCATTATTACCCTTTTACAGACGGGGGAAGTGACTTTGCACAAGTCACACACATTGCAGTTTAGCGGTGGAGCCAGGATCCAGCCCAAATCTCTGGGGTCCAAAGCCTGGGTGAGCTTTTAAGAGCTCTGCGTCCCGTTTTCCTGTGGATCTGAGAGAGGGTCTCCCTCCACCCCACAAAACCACTCCCAAGCCCTGGGGCCGTTCCCTGAACACAGGGGCCACCTTCGGAGCCCAGACGAGGGATGGGGGTCTGCCTGGCCTCTGGGGAGAGGACTCCCAGGCTCAGCCCTGTCTCTGCTCTCAGGTGCCTACAAGGCCCCGGAAGCCACCTGGCCTCTCTGAGGCCTCACTGACCCCGCCATAGGTGGGAGGTAGTAGAACCCACAGTCCCAGGCTCCACAAATAACCGTTCCCTCTGCCCCTCCGTCCTTGTCCACCAGCTGGCCCAGGGGCAGAAGTACTGTAGAGAACACAGATGACCCTGGGACAACAGAGGTAATCACTGCCAGGAGTCAGGCCAGCACTAGGACCCTGCAGGGCGAGGGCAGTCCAGGGTTGCATCCTGCCCGTCCTGGGCCCTCACTCGGCACTTTTGCTCTCACAGACCCCTTCTGCTATTATATATATTTACATGATTATATTCATGGCTATGTTGGTATAAGGGCAAATAGTATTAATAATATATAAGCACACTGTATCAGTTTGCTGTGGCTACCATAACAAAGTACCATAGCTGGGGGGTTTAAACAACGGACATGTGTTTTTCTCAAAGTCCTGGAGCTGGAAGTCCAAGGTCAAGGTGCGGGCAGGGCTGTTTCCCCTGAGGCCTCTCTCCTGGGCTTGTAGCCGGCCATCTTTGCTCTGTGCACATCTGAGTCCTAATCTCTTCTTGTCGGGCCACCAGCCATATGAAATTAGGACCCACAGCAATGACCCCAGTTAACCCTAATGACCGTTCTAAAAACCTTCTCCCTAAATACAGCAAATACAGCACATTCGGAACTCCTGGAAGCTAGGACTTCAACACGTGAATGTGCGGTGAGATACAAGTCAGCTCATAACTTACAGGCATACAGGGCCTCCTGGGAGGCTCAGTCGGTTAGGGTCTGACTTTGGCTCAGGTTATGATCTCATGGTTCGTGAGTTCGAGCCCTGCATCGGGCTCTGTGCTGACAGCTCGGAGCCTGGAGCCTGCTTGAGATTCTGTGTCTCCCTCTCTGTCCTTCCTCCACTCACGCTCTCTGTCTCTCTCAAAAATAAATAAACGGTAAAAAAAAAAAAAATGTTTAAACACACATACAAATACATGTATAACCTATTTTTAAATGTTTATTTTTGAGAGAGAGAGCCGGGGAGGGGTAGAGAGAGAAGGAGACATAGGATTCAAAGCAGGCTGTGCGCTGATGGCTGAGATCCCGACGCGGGGCCCAAACTCACGAACTGTGAGATCATGACCTAAGCCGAAGTTGGACGCTTAAGTGACTAAGCCACCCGGGCGTCCCCACGTATATCATATAGTTCATTTTTTTTCTTCTGCCTTTAACAGAAATTAAAACATCTGCATGGGCCCCTAAAAGCACTGTGTCTGGGGAAGCTGACCGGGCTGGTCACTGAGGAGCTAAATCCTCTGGGACTCATTTGGGTCCTGATGCTCTGAGCTTGGGTCAGGGAGGGCTGCTGGAGCCATCACATGCCGCTGCTGCTTCTGCTCAGAAAATCTTGTCCCGATGGCGAGTACAGGAACGTTCCGTGAATGTCCGGGACAGAGGCCTCAGCTGGTCCCCGTGGGGCAGGCTTCTGCCATCGCCAGCCCAGCGGATGACAGCGATGAGAGCTGTCATAACGTCTTTCTCCAAATGTCCTCCCAATTTCCTGTAAACTACTCCAGGTGGGCGTCCACCCCAAACATTCCATCGGAATGGCACGGGTCTCCGTTGCCAGGGACCTCCACGTGGCCACATCGATGGCCACTCCTCAGCCACGCCTCACCTGACCTCTCAGATGAGGTCAGCACCCTCCCTCCTCCGGTGGCGTCCAGAGTGCCACATTCTCCCGGCTTCCTTCCTACCTCCCTGGCCACCCCTCCTGTTGCATTTGCCGGTGACTGGACTTGACCCTGGGCCTTGACATTGGCATGTCCCGGGGTTGAATCCTCTGCCATCTTCTCTTCCAGCCTGGATTCCCTTAGTGCTCGGACCCAGAAGCGTGGTCCTCAGTCTTCTTACACATTTACTCGCTTTATCATCCTCTGCTAGAATGTCAGCCCCGTGGCGGCGGAGACATTTGTCTTGTTCAGGGATGGGTCTCCCAGCCTAGGACATGGCTGCCACATAGGAGGTGCTCCATAAATGTTGTTGAAGGAATGAGCCCGGTCCCTCCCGCCATGCCAGCGGGAAGCCTGAGGGCATCCAGGTGGAGGGGGGCGCATCGCAGGAGATTTTGATCCGGACAGAGAGCATTTGCCATCTGCCTTCTGACACTCACGCTCTGGGCGATCTTAGACACCTCTACCAGCATCTGTCTGGAGCTGAGAGTCCTCAGCTTGGAGGGTAAGAATACCAACCACCAGATACGTGACAGATTTCTCCAACCCCTTAGAAGACGGGAGTCCCATTCTTCATCGCCATTAACAGCCCTGTCCTTGTTGATCAGTACTTGTGACCCTCGGCTGCCCGTAACAAAGCTGCTACGTCTCTGACCCAATCGCTGTAGCAGAAATTCTGGTGAGAGAGAGGCAGGGGTGACCCCTATTCCTACTGTGTGAGCACCCCACCCGGGGCTATTTGAGGTCTGCTCAGAGTCACCCTGCCGAAGCACGGACAGCCAGACAGGAACCTGGGGCTGAATGAAGCCAAAGCCCATGACCTCCGACCTCGTGGTTCCTTCTGGATGTCTCCATCTCTCCTCTTGATTCTCTCTCCCCCACCAACCCAGCCCATCACCAAACGCTGTGTGTTCTGCCTGCTGAATACCTCCATAGCCTGCCCACCTTCTCTCTCACCTCCCTGGCCGCCTTCCACGAACTTTCCAGAACTTGAATCTGACCTTACCTCCTGTTGCCTAGAATCCTTCATGACTTCTCATAGTTCTGGGGTTGAGACTAATGTTTTTGGGGGGGCGGGGCACAAGAGCCTCTGGCAGTCTGAGCCCAGATGACATCTCCAACCTTGTCCTGACTCCCTGGATCGTGGAAGAATTAGGTCCGCCTGACGCACACCATCAAGCGGGTCTGTCCTCCTAGGTTCACCAGATGATGTGCTTATCTGTTAGCTTGTCCACAGTCTCTACCCACGTCCTCCCTACGAGGACACAGGCCACACCAGGCTGGCTCATCGTTGCATAGCAAGGTTCTCAGAACAAGGTAGCCACTCAAAGGGGCGCCTGGGTGGCTCAGTCGGTTGAGCGTCTGACTTTGGCTCAGGTCATGATCTCACGGTCTGTGAGTTCGAGGCCCGCGTCGGGCTCTGTGCCGACCGCTCAGAGCCTGGAGCCTGCTTCCGATTCTGTGTCTTCCTCTCTCTCTGCCCCACTCCTGTTTGCACTCTGTCTCTCTCTGTCTCTCAAAATGAATAAACGTTAAAAATATTTTTAAAAAAGGTAGCCACTCAATGTATTTGTTGACTACACGAATGAATGAACACGTGAATGAATGAACACGTAAATGAATCAAAGCACACGCAGGCATGTGCCCAGACATCTGTGCGCTCCGACCCCCACCCCCACCCCGCCTCATGCAGGCCTTGTCAGGGCTTTTCCTGCAGCAGACAAGGACAGATTCCAAGTCCCAGGCTGGACTCAGCACCCTTCTCCCTTCATCTTTCACCCTACTCCCTTACCTTCGGCCTCAGCCCCTTTCTTCTCAAAGGCTGCACAGAGACGCTCGAGCACCATGCTGTCACTGGAGCCCTCCACCCGGAATTCCTCATCCAAGAGCCAGAAAAGGCCCCTGGAGTCCTCAGCACCTCCAACAGCTGGTAAGCGGACCTGGTGGAAAACCCAGGATCACCGAGGAGCCCTGATCCCTGACAGAGGCCAGTCCTAGGCTTCTCTTCCTACCTACAGGAGTCGGGAGATCTGAGTCCCAGGCATCATGGCTCAGACGTGCTGGCCCGGAGCCATGATCCCTCCCACCCCCAGATGCTCAGTGTGGGAACCTCAAACCTTAACAAGCTCTCAGTTTCAGGAGGTACATTCCGGCCTCTGTCCTCACTTCCTGTGTGACCTTGGGTAACTTACTGCACCACTCTGAGCCTCATTTCCTTTTATGGAAAGTAGAGACTGGCAATACCTTCCTCAGAGGGCTGCAGTGAGGAATTAACAAGGGAGAGCACTCTGTAAATTACACATTCCAGAGGCAAACAAGCAGCTGGGTGTTATTTGTGCACAGCCACACATCAAAGGATTAATCCCATCCATATCGCTTTCTCTTAGAAATCTGCGTTTTTTTAAACTAAACTCTTAAGAGGGGGAGGGGAGCGCCCGGAGAATGTTCTAGAGGAGAAGGTGAACTTGGCTTCATAGCACAGCACGGAATTTTAAATCGAGCCACGAGCTTCAGAAGCCGTCTAGGTAACTCTGAAGTTTCGTTCACAGTGACAGAGAGAGACCTGGAGAGTCTAAGGGCCCACAGTGAGTGGACACCACCGAACTGGCCCCAGTGCTTATGGTGGAAATGTGACGCGTGCGGTGACCAGATGTCCCCTGGTGACTGGGACTGCGGCACCTCCCAGGACGTGAGCATTTCGGCGCTGAAGCCAGAAAACCAGGATGGTTGGGTGCCCCACCCACCCCCCTCGGAGGGCCAGAGAGGAGAAGGGACACACACCCAGGGTCACACGGAGGGGCACCGGGGCAGAACCAGAGCTGGATCCCAGCTATCCCGAGCCTTCACCTCACCTTTCTTTATGGGGGTTGAAAGTGGCAGCCAGCCCATCCTCAGCTGGGAAGGTAGCTATTCCCAGCCGCTGTACAGGCGTCCAGGGGACCCCACCGCCCCTCCCTCCTCACCCTGCCTGGGTCGTCCCTCCAGGCCAGGAAGCATGAAAGCGAAGGGGGATCAGCCCAAGAGGGGCCAACAGGAAGCATAAACAGGCAATGGCCGCTAGGGCTCACGGACAAGGCAGCTTTGCGGGGACAGGTGCAGGCCACTATGAGCCAAGAAAAGGCTTGGAACCCACCCCGGGCCGGCAGGAGACAAAGAATGAGAAAAGTGGCCGCCTGTGGTATCACCCGGCAGGAGAAACATGTGACCTGCAGGCCACCTCGCATGCCCCCAGCAGCTTGCCAGCCACTTTAGACGCCGGATCTCATCAACATTCACAGCCGCCCCAGGGGAGACCACCGTTCCCATTTTGGAGATGAGAAAACTGAGCCCAGAGAGGCGATGGGATATGATCAAGGTCACCGGGATCGGCCCCGAATCTGGCAAGTTGAGTGAAATGGCCCAGGGCAGTTCTGAGAGGGGGTTGAGCAGAGGTATGCGGGTCTGGGGCCAGCCCCGCGGGCTCTTGGGATAGGAGAGAAAAGTGAAGACTCAGGTATCCCCCAAACTGAAGGCCATTGATGCCTGGACCCACCATCGCCCCCACTCTCATCCCCCAGTGGCCCCTATTCTTCCTGTGTCTGCTGGACTTTGCACTTGAGTCTGAGGTCCTGACCTTTCCAGACGAGCATCCATCCACTGGGCACTGGACCTGAGCCCCCCTCAGCTTAGCACCGAGCACAGACTCAGACATCAAGTAGAGGGGTGGTCCTCAACCTGAGAGTATTTGAAGATTCGTTGCCCCGGGGCCACACCCTCGGATCAGTCTGGGAGTGGGTCACCAGCTTCAGTGTCTTTAACAACCCCTGGGCCATTCCAGGGACAGATAGCATTGAGAACCAGTGGCTTCAAGACTCGAGTCATCTAGTATTTCAATTAAAACCTCCGTGGCATCTCAGAGCCTCAGTCGGCTGGGCCCCACGTTACCTGGGAAAGATTCTGGTCCACGACAGCCACCGTGGTCCCTGGGGAAGGCTCCGGGAGATCAAAGGGCACGGGAATACCTTCCTGCAAAGTCACAAAAGTTCAACATTAGTTCCTTCCGTGAGCTGACTGGGGTGGAAAACTTCTAGAGGAGAAAAGAGAAGTGAGGGCTTTTGCCTTCCCTTAACTTTTTTCTTATTATCATTTTTAAAATAGTTTTTTAAAGTAATCTCTACACCCAACATGGGGCTTGAACTCACAACCCCGAGATCAAGAGTCACGTGCTCCACTGACCGGGCAAGCCAGGCTCCTTCCTATTATCGTTTTTTTAATTGTGGTAAAATACAAACGGCATAAAAATCTACCTTTTTAAGTGTAGAGCTAGAGGCATTAAGTAGACTCACAGGTTGTGCAACAGTCACGACCCCCCACCTCCTGAACTTTGTCATCTTGCAAAACAGAAACTCTGTCCCCAATAAACACAGGCTCCCCGTCCCCCCTCCTCCGCCGCCAGCCCCTGGCAACCACTATTCCACTTTCTGTCTCTAGGAATTTGACTTCTTGTGAGCATCTCACATGAGTGGAGTCATACGGGATCTGTCCCTTGGTGACTGGCTTATTTTGCACTCAGTATAATGTCCTCAGGGTTCATCCACGTTGCAAAGGATCAGAACTTCCCTCCTTTCTATGGTTGAATAACAGCCTATTGTGTGGACACTTATTTACGCAGGAATTCACCATCCACTGACAGACACGTGGGTTGCTTCTAACTTTTAGCCATTACGAATAATGCTGCTGTGCACATGGGTGCAAATATCTCTTCGAGACCTTGCTTTCAATTCTTTGCGGGTAGATACCCAGAGGGAGAATTGCTGGGTCACATGGTAATTCTATTTTTTTTTTTTTTAATTTTTTCCCAAACCAGCATCCTGTTTTTCACAACAGCTGCACCGTTTTAGATTCTCACCAGCAACACACAGGTTCCCATTTCTCCACATCTTCACCAACATTTGCTGTGTTCTGTTTTTGGTTTCGTTTATGTTTTGATAGTAACCACACTACTGGGTATTAAGTGATATCTCAATGTTTTGCTTTGCACTTCCCTAAATTTCATGGGCTTATTGGCCATTTGTATATCTTTTTTGGAAAAGTATCCATTCAAATCCTTTGCCCTTTTTTCAAGCAGGTCGTCCGTATGCGTCTCTCAACACCCCATAGCCTTTGTATGAGAAGAAGGGTTGTAGACCGACATTCCAATAACATCCTGACCTTGTTCATCCTGGCGGGCTGTCAGCAATCGTGGTGACAGCTTTATCAGGAGCCGGTCATTCAATCCAAACTTTTCTAGGATTTACCGAGTAGCTAATGAGCGCTGGGCTGAACACTGGGTGCCCGAGGGAGCAAGCGTAAACTAGGGCTAATGACAGTCACCTGCAATACAAAAGTCACCAGAAATGTGCGGGCACGGCTATGCACCACGATGTTCATCGCAGTGCTGTTTACAATAGCTTAATCGTGGAAAACAGCCAGACGTGCAAAGGAGGGTGGAGACAGAATTGGACGTAACCACTGAAATGCATGATTACTAAAAGCTGCACGTGGAAGGAAGACACGTGCATAGCATGATGGTGGGCGGAAACCAGCAGACAACGACATCCTGTATAGGGAAGGATCAGAAATCTGCAGAGAAGACGATAAATGGAAAACAAGTGGTATAAAATACAGACAGCAGTCACAATGGTCGCCTGTGGCCGGCGGGGCTAAAGGAGATTAGGTTTTCTGCTTACGGACACTTCTATGCGCTTTCCAGTTTTTGAAGAAAGAACACGTATTGCTTTGATCATCAGAAATAACTTGAGATATTGTGGGAGCTGCTGTCATGTACTGAATACCTAATACAGCCTGGACGTTTTCTATCCTACTTCATAAGATACTCAAAGCAGCCCTTTTAGGCGGTGTGGTAAGAATGATTTTAAAAATAGCCCCTGTTGTCTCCCCTTCTGTGCCTCTCTCTCTTGCAGTTTCTGCCATCAGGAAGGGGAACCTATTTCCCACCCCTTGAGTCAGGGCTTAGCCCCGGACCCACTGTGACCAACTGAATACATGAGGGACATTGCCAAGTCCAAGTTGAGGACTCGAGGGGCCCAGCACATGCCTGCTCATCTCTTGGAACCCTGCCCAGTGCCGTGAGAGCAGCCTGGGCTAGCCTGCCGGAGGATAGGACATTCCACTCCTGGCTCACAGAGGAGTGATCCCAGCCAAGGCCTGCCCGGATCAGCTCACGGCCATCTGACCCCCAGACACAGGAAAGCACCAGCCAGGACCATCAGAGCCACCCACCCACCCTGCATCTGCCCACAGACACAGGAGCTGGCTCAGCCAAGACCAGAGAACTGCCCAGGCAATCCAGAGACTTGTAGGCAATAACAAGAGGTAATTTTTTAAAGCCACTAGATCCTGGGGGCACTTTATTACGTAGCACTATTGTGGCAGTTGATAACTGATACAGGAATCATTTCTATTTTACATGTGACAGAACCAAGGATCAGAGAGGGCACGTGCCTCTCCTAAGGCCACACAGCCAATAAGTGACAGAGCTAGAGTCAGATGCCAGGGCTTATCATCAGCATCACGTATTTGAGATTTATCCATGCTGATGCTTTCATGTTCATTGCTGTCCAGGTTCCAGCCAAAAACAACAAAAAAAAAAAAACAAAAAACAACCAAAAGCAAAACAACAAAAAAACAAACCATAATTTCAACACCTGTTATCCTACTGATAGGCAAGATGATCATTTCTAACATTTTGCCACTAGCACTTGCTGGAGTCAACGCGGTCCCCTTCAGGGAGGAAGGAGGGGGTGGATAGGCCGGGGGCGTCCTGGGTGCTGGCAGTGTTCCCCTTTCGCCTTGGGTGACACATGCATGAGTATGTTCATTGGGATAAATTCACTGAGCTGGCCTCCCCTGCTTTATGCATTTTCTGTGTGAATGTTATATTTCAATTTAAGCTGCTTTTTTTTTTTAAAAAAAGCAAGAAGAGAGGGCTGGCAAGGAAAGTACCTGTACATGTTTCCTGGTTCATGCCCCTAGAGAAGTGCACCTTGGGCTTTGTTAGCTATTACCACGCTAGGATCCAAAGGGCTGCGTGTCTCCTTATGTCCAGTGTTTTCATCCACCCACTGAGCACAAAGGGCTTTCCACCGGGAAGACGCAAGAGGAACAGGTCACGGCAATGAAGGGACAGCCAGGGGAGCAAGGCCTGGGGAGCCCCGAGTTCCCTGGTGTCTGTGGACGGGAGGGCATGGGGGGCCGTGCATGGAGATGGGGAGGCAGCAGAGGCCCCGGGGAGCCGGGGTCCGGAGTTAGGGCTTTGTTCGGTGGCGGGCCAAACAGGATGAAACCAGGGGTTACCGAAGGACCAGACCATTCCCCCCCAGCCCCGGCTGGCCTCACTCCCGCCGCTAAGCCCCGCGGAAAGCCTGTCACACCTGTCGGTATCGCTCCAGCGCAGAGACGAAGGTCCGCTGGTAGAAAAGCAGCTGTAATCGTTCATGGGCGTAATTGCGGCACAGCTCCTCGAAGGTGGCCGCCCGGTCCTTGCACTGGTGCCGCGGGTTCTGAAAGCCCGGGGGGTCCACCACCATGATGGAGGCCATGGAGAGGTGGCAGGAAGAGAAAGACCTGGGGAGAGAGGGGCGAGGCCCCGAGGCCACATGGAAACTTCCGGCCCTGCTGGTCCAAGTCTCTCCCACTCCCCCCATCACAAACGTGGAGAAACTGAGGCAGCATGCTGGGTGGATATGGGCATCCAGCCGATCTAGCGCCAAAACGAGACTCAATACTGATTCCAGGGTGTGTGACCTGAAGCAGGTTAATTAACCTCTCTGAGCTAAGGTTTCCCCAACTCTTAAATGACAGTAGGATGAATAAGATGATCCCAGGGGATACAGTAAGGATCAAGGGAGTCAGGAGCACCTGGGTGGCTCAGTCGGTTGAGCGTCCGACTTCAGCTCAGGTCATGATCTTGCAGTTGGTGAGTTCGAGCCCCGTGTCGGGCTCTGTGCCGACAGCTCAGAGCCTGGAGCCTGCTTCGGATTCTGTGTCTCCCCCTCTCTCCGCCCCTCCCCCACTCATGCTCTGTCTCCGTCTCTCAAAAATGAATAAACATTTTTTAAAAATTTTAAAAACAAGCCCTTTCAAAGGGGTGCTTGGGTGCTCGCTCATTCGGTTGAGTGGCCGACCGGCTCGGGTCATGATCTCGCAGTTTGTGAGTTCGATTCCCTCATCATGCTCACTGTGTCATCACAGAGCTTGCTTCTGATCCTCTGTCCGTCTGTCTCTGTCTCTCTCTCTCTGTCCCTCCCCTGCTCGCTCTGTCTCTCTCTTTCAAAATAAATGAATTTTAAAAGCTTAAAAAATATATTTTAAATGTCACAAGGCGAGGGAACCAATTAGCGCAGGCCCTTGTCCTGACTTAGCAGTTCCCCCCAAATTGTTGATTTTTATTGCTGGTATCTTACGATCACCATTAGTAAGAATTGCTTAAATACATTCTTTCTTTTAATCCTCGCAATGATCCTGGGGGACAGAGCTATTTCGCAGGTGCAGAGGGGAGGTCCGAGAGATGAACAGCTATGCCTTGGGTGGCCAAGGTGGAATTTAAACCCAGCACTGCCCGGCTCAAAAACTCACTCTTCTCTTGTTAAGAAACAAACAAAACAAACAAAAAACAAACAAAAAAACAAAAAAACTGCTGAAGCGCCCCCTGCTTGGGCTCATCTGTGTGCCTGCAAAGAGGCCGCTGTTACCTGTTGATGAGTGAGACCACAGCCGCAAAGAGCTCTTGGTACAGGCCCGAGGCCATCCCCTCCACACACTCCACGCCCGTCATCTTGAGCCCTGGAGTGGAAAAGAGGGAAAGGCAGACATCCGTGGTCAGGACCTTGCCTGGGGCCAAGGACCACGCTCCACAGGCATCACTGCTGGCCTTCGAGAACCCCTACTCCACTCACATACCTCCCTCCACTGCCGAAATTGTGTACCCACACTCTTAGGACTAAGCCCAAGTGTCTTATCGGGACTTACGGGGTTCTGAGTAACCTGCCCTACGTCTTCTCCAATGAGCGCTCCTTCTCATCGCTTGGGGTCAACCCAGTGTCACCTCCCAGGGCAGCCTGCCTTGACCACCACTGTGTTAAGCCAATTCTCAGGCAATCTACCCCCTCAAAAGAACTGTTAGTATACAAGACAGTATTGGTAGCCACAGGTTCTTAGGCTGCACAGTGGACATATCTGTCTGCTGGTCATCGTGTCCATCCATTTATTTGTCTGGGCTCTAGGCTTTTCTCATCTTGCACGAATGAAACTGTATACCCTTCACTCATTCCCCTCCCCCCAGCCCCCGGGTAACCCCCACCCTATTCTCTGCTTCTATGAGTGTGACTGTGTTAGATTCCACCTATAATTGGGAACGTGAAGTGTATCATTCAGTTGTAAAAAAAGGAAATCCAGTCACTCACTACAACACGGATGAACCCAGAGGACATTATGCTACGTGAAATAGGCCAGACACAGGACAAAGGTACCCTGCTCTTAGAGCACTGAGCTCAGTATATCTTTACTGTGTAGTTATTTTATTAACAACCTCCCCCCATGTCCGTGCCCGGCAGCAGGCCGGGAGTGACCCGAGAATGGGGACCGTCTCTGGGTGTCTTGGCTCCCAGATCCACAGTGCCTGACACATAGTAGGCACTCAGTAAATTTCTGTTGTTCCCTCTTTCTGGAGGGAACTTTGGCAATCCTGTGGCAGAGGCCATAAAATGTTCATACACTTGGACTTAATAATTTCACTCCTGGGCTTTTAATCCTAATGAAATATTCAGAGGAACAAAGATCTCTGGGTACATATGTTCTCCTGATTGTTGATTACATTGGATGAAAATCGCTTTTTTGAAGCAACTTGGATATCCAACAATAGCAAACGGGGTTAGATAATTTGTAGTCTGTGCAAAGGAGTGCTTGAAGTCAGGCAGAGATGAATTTGGAGAGAGATGGAAAAGTGCCTACTTGTGATGTTAGGATGAATGAAAAGGCTTAGCAAACTATTAATACAGTCACGGTCTCAATTTTGTTTAAACACACACACACACACACACACACACATACACACGTCCCATTAAAATAGCTAGCCCTGATTAGGGTGCCTTGAATGAAGCAGAGTGAGAATTTGCGACGGGAGGGTCAGATTGTAAATCCTGACCCTCAGGTTTCGGGTCCATCCGCAGAATCGGAAACACGATTTTCAAATCTGCGCTGTGCCTGGAGATACAATTCTGTTTGTACATTCCAGGCAGCCCCAGTGCAGCCCCAAGGCACTTCCCAACCCTCCTGCAGCTCCACTCCCAACCTGAGCTGTTGCTAGGCAACCCACAGCCTCTCCACATCTCTCCAAAGCTTGCTGGTCCCCTGTCTGCTTCACATCTACCCTTGATACCTTGGCCTGAGATGTAATTAGCGCTGATGTCGGAATGTGTGTGCACATATGCTCATGTGTCTGTGCACACTGGTGTGCTTCCTGCGTGCCTGTGCGTGTGTGTGGTGAATGTCTGTGCACCTGTACATGTGCATGTGTAGTGTGAGCCTGTGGGCCTGTGGTGTGTGTGTGCACGTGCATGTGTGTGACTGTGGGGCACGTGTGTGTGTTTCAGAGAGGAGGAGTGACCACAAGCAGACTACAGCTCACACCTGGACCCAGAAGTAGACAAAAGGCTAGTGGCGTCCAGGTGACATTAGCCATCAAGCGGAAGTCCTTAGAGGTGCGGCAGCTCCAAGGATCTGAGGGGCCTCGAAGAGATGGGTCCCCATACCACAATTCGAAACAGTGCTACCCACTGATGCCAGACTCTGCAGTCTCTGAGACAACCACTCTTAGTTCTCAGAGACTCCTGGGGTTCCAGGAGGTCCCTCTGTCCTCACTTTCTGCAGCCAAAGCATCTGGCTGGTGGAGGCTGCAGATCTGGGACCCAGCCGATCACACTCCAGCAGGTGCCATACGAAGCCCTTCGGCTTCCCCCCACCCCTCACATCAGTCCGAGGCACCTCTGCTCCTCCAACCACTCAGGCCAAAATCCTAGAAGCCACCCCAATCCCTTGCTTCTCCACTAGGGCCCATGTTATCATCTCTATTTGTACAAGAGTAGACCTTGAACATGTCTACCATTGCCTCCCTTGTGCAACCACCATCATCTCACTAAGTGACTGTGTAAGTTCCTGTGTGTCCTCCCTTCTCCCACCCATTCCCCTGTCTTCCCCCCTCCACCGGCTGAGCCATTTGAAGAACAAGTCACATCATGGCATTCCCTGCCTGTGCCCCTGCAAGGCTTCTCATGGGCCTGAGCGTAAAAACAAAAAACAAAAAATAGAGTCTTATGTGAGCTGGCCACCTCCCACCCCAGCTCTTCAGCCTCATCTACTATTCTCCCAGTCCCTTTTGCCATCCCGGCCTTATTTTGGTTCCTCACACTGGAAGGCCAGGCTTCTCCCGACAGGTAGGGGCTCAACAAACGTAATAGCCAATGGAAAAGTGTTGGTCCCTTGGCAGAACTCACAGCATCCCCCCTCCATAGCCCAGGGCGTCCTGCTGGGTTGCGGCAGAGACTTCAGGACCCTGGACAGCGCTACTTGCCCAGAAGCACCTTGCAGGTGGGACCCATGTCCACTTCCGCCCACAAGGGCTTCCCTTGCACCTGGAAGATCTGCATATAGTGTGTCCTGATGAGCAGGTGAACGTGTGTTGTAGTGTCCCCAGGGGCTGGCCCACCCAGAGAGGCAGCAGTGCGGCACCTGAGCTGGTCTCCTCGCCCTCAGGTCTCCGTCGGCCCGGCCCAGATGTCACTTGCTCGATGATCTGTCGCAAGTGGTGCTTGAAGGTGGCCGTGTTCAGCTCCTCATATTCGCAGCCCAGGGCCTCCGCTGCGTGGTTTGCCCACTCAAACCGCATGAACTGCTTCCGGCCGACTGCAAGAGGGACAAAGCAGAAGGACGGTGGTGAACCCCTGGGCATGGAGTGTGTGGGCTCCCAAGAGGACCTCGGGGATCTCGCCACCTCCCACCCTCTGGGCCACCCGCCCTCAGTGGGGAACCCCAAACCGCCCCAGGCAGGGGTCAGGTTTCCCAAGACATATGCTTTTCCTGCTTCCTTGCATTTGCATTGTTCACTTTTTCAAAGCAATTACAATGATCATGTGGACATTCTAAATGTGGAATTGGAGAATTGATAGTAAAAAAAGTATGAGTTGTCCACCTATGTATCCACTTACCTATCCATCCACCCACCCACTGCCCCCTGCCACCCACCTACCCATCCATTCAACTACCCACCCAGCCACACATCCGACCACCTGACTATCCATCCGTTTATTCAAAACACACGTATTGAGATCCTACTACGTGACAGGCACTGTGTCTGCCACAGAGAAATCAATGATGGGCACGACAGACAAGGTGCCTGTCCTCGTGGAGCCTACAATCTATTGAGGGAATTAGACAATAAACAAGAAAACAAATAGATGGACAAGATAACTTCAGTTGATAGAATTATAAAGTGATTCCCCTTTAAGGAGAAAATAAAGCCAAGAGATGAGATCAAGAGAAACTAAGAGCATCCCTGTTGATCCATAGTGGTCAGAGAGGGCTCTGTCTGAGGATGTGATGTCTGAGCTGGGTTATAAAAGGTGAGAAGGAGGTGGCTTCCTAAAGAAGTAGGAAAGAGCTTTAGAGAGGGGAGGAGGCGACTGTGCAAAGGTCCTGAGGCAGAAATAAGCATAGTGTATTAGAGAAATGCCAAGAAGGCCAGGTGGCTGGAAGGTAAGGGGGGGGGAGGGGGATGAAGAGAAGCCGAAAGAGGTTGAAGGAGCAATGGGGAACCACACTATGACCTATTATAAGGCCATTTAGGATCAACAGGCTGTACAACACAAACAATGCTTACAGCCAAACATTAAGTAAAAAGCAAATTAGAGAACTGTACCAGAGTATGATGTCAACTGTGTAAATCATTCTAAAGTGCTGTAAAAAAACAACAATGGTAAAAAGCAGGGCGCCTGGGTGGCTCAGTCAGTGAGCATCCGACTTCGGCTCAGGTCACGATCTCGCAGTTTGCGAGTTCGAGCCCCACGTCGGACTCTGTGCTGACAACGCGGAGTCTGCTTCTGATTCTGTGTCTCCCTCTCTCTCTCTCTCTGCCCCTCCCCCGCTCGTGTCCTGTCTCTCTCTCAAAAAATAAATACAAACATTTTTAAAAATTTGAAAATAGTAAAAAGGAAATATGTCCAAATATTAACAGTCATAGCTGGGTAAGGGGATTTTGTATTTTCTAAATTTTCTATGGTGCTTGTGTACTAATTTTATAATCCGAATAAAAAATTAATGGCTGATGAAAACAAATACGGGTGCCATCCTTAAATAATTTCTTCCATTACTTATCTTCCCATAAATGTTTCCCTCTTTGAAATAAAAAACACAGCCGCCCTAGGTTTCTCAATCCATCAGAAAGAGATCACAGGGCTTCAAGAAGACGTCTTGAAGAATCAGTCTGGTGGAAATTCGGAAAAAGATTTTATGTGATACTTGGGTGCCACCCAAGGGAAGGAGCCCTGCCCCCAGGTCACCGAGGGGCCACAATAGCTCCTGCTCATTGGCTTCCTCCTCCATGCCAGTTACTCAGCACTGATCATCACAAGAGAATATTCCCATTTTACAGATGAAAAAGCTGATTCAGAGAAGCCACCAGAAATCAGATGGACACTAAATACAAGAAGTACCATTTCACCAAAATCAGTCCCTCAGATACCCACTTTTAGGAAATTTGCCGTATCCTTGGGACCCTAGGTGAGACTTTCCTTAACACGGACTCATTTATCTTTTTCACTTAACTAAATATGTTGTGAGGAGAAATATTACAGCCTTATCTTAAATGAAAACCCACTTGTTGGAGGAGGCCATCCAGAGGACGTGACTGCCCATTGACCCTGGAGCTGGCCCTGGGCTCCTCACCCCCCTCCCCTCTCTGTGAAACGTACATTCTGCCCACGTTCCCATAGCGGGTGGGGGAGCTGTCTTAAAGGACTTAGCCTTGAGTGAGCAAGGTGTTGTTTAGACCATCTGGATTGAATATGCTGTATACACTTTTAAGATTTGGGTGGGTGGGTGCAGGGATGTACAGGGCTGGCCAGCAGAGAGAAGGCTCCTATGTAAATTCCCTTGCTTATTACACCTGCTGGCTACCAATCTGGAGTGATCTGTTTCTGTCTTTGGTCTCCCTGTGCCCTGGGTGAGCTGGGGCCAGTTTGCAAACCAACACCATTATCACTTGTCACAAACAGATAGCAGAAATAAATACAATATGAGCACAAAAGTATCAATAGATGCTAATTAGACACAGTTACCTGGGAGCCGGAGGTCTGCTCCGTGTCAAAATGGAAGATTAGTGACGGTTAGAGATTTTAAAGGCTGTTAGCCCCGAGTGAGTCTTCTTTCCCCCTGTGTTGGGGGTTGAAAGGCAATTAGGAGATAATGTTCTAGGTAGGCGATGTCCTGTCTCTCTCCTGCCCTGTCAACCCTCCTCTGCCACTCTCCAAAATATTCCCCTACACTCTGCCTGCAGTGACCTTCGGTACCTTGCTGAGTCAGGAGGGGAATCAGCCATGGCTCTTTCTGAAAAGAGGAGCAGTGAACAGGCTCGATCTGACTCTAAATCCTGCCTGACAAGGGGGATATTTCCCAGGGCCCAGTGCAGCATCCTGCTGGTGGCAGCATCCAGGGGGTGGGGGTGGGGGTGGGGTGGGGGGACACACAGGGAGCTTCGCCAGGAAAATGCGTGTTTTGCTTCCAGTTCCCTAAAGACTGGTTGGTGCACAAGATCCAACCCCATGGGTTCCCCTATATTTGTTCAGACATGGGTGGAAGACAGAGAACTGGGGGGTACCCGAGGCAGAGACAGGAACATGGACACTGGACCAGACAGCATCTGGGTCCTTATCCCCGCTTCTGCCATTCTCAGCTGCCAGTCTTTGGGCGAGGTGCACAGCCTTTTTGAGCCTCAGTTTCCTCATCTGTAAAATGGAGTCATAAAACCCCAAGCACTTCGTCACAGGGCTGCAAGGACTGGGTGAGATGGTTACACTTACGCGGGAGATACCCAACAGAGCGTCTGGCCCTGAGAAGGTGTTCATTAAATGTCTATTCCCTTCTCCACCTGTGAAATCAAAGAGGGCACCACTCACCCGACCGGGATTGTTCCGTCCTGGCGGCTGCAGGGACTCCTCCTGCAGATCTGTCTCTGGCTTCAGGAGAGGATTTGGGGGATGGATAATGAATCGGCGCCCTTCAGATTTGGGCCACGCCCCAGAGATTCTGAGCCAACTGAGGTAGGTCATTTCTCTTCCACGGAAAGGCAGACACACATGGGCTCAGCACCTCCTACCAACCGACCCCAAAGCCAAGCACAAAGCTGTCCTCAGAATGCCACCGGGTCTGGAGATTCCCACCCAAGTGATGTTCATTTATGCGATGTTTCCTTCTCCTGAAAAGCCATCACTTACTGAACAAGGACAGCCATCAAGCATCGGCATGTGCCGGGCACTGTGCGATGTGTTTCCTCACCCTCTTCTTTGCGCTCATAAAAAGCCTCTGAGGTAATTCAAAGATGTGGAACAGACCCGGCAAGGTCTAGTTTCTGGTCCAGGGAGTGAGTGGCAGAGCGGGATTCCCGCCCTCGTGTGCGGATCGCAGAGGGCGCAGAAGCCACCTGCTGGTGTGCCCGGGCAGAGTCTGTATGGCCGCTGCTCTATCCCGATCAGAGCTGGCACCAGGAAGTGCCCAACAAACGTTTGTAAAGTGGGTAATTACATGGTGGAAGGAGACGGCCAGCCCCACCTGCTTTCCCTCGCCGCTTCTCCAAGACCGGGGAGGGAGAGTCTCTGTGTTCTCCTCTCCCCCACGGAACCCGCCATCTGAACCTTAGAGACCGCCTTTTCTAACAGGGAAGATCAAATAAAAGACAACACAGAAGTGAGACCGACAGACAGGATGGAGCCGGCTCCTCGGAGGGGACTCTTTTTGGGGCGGGTTTGTGGATTTCTCCCTGCCTCTAGCCCCCTCCAAAGGGGGTCATGCAACTCAGCCCAGGTGCTTTCTCCCCACCCACCAGGAGGCAGGGAGCCTGTGCCCAGAATAACGCCAAAGCCACACGCAGAGATCATCTCAGGCCAGTGCACTTGGCTGTCAGCCTTTCTGCCGGTCCCTGGCGGGACACAGGGCCCCGTGGCAGGTAGGACCGCAGTCTGGCTTCTGCACACACCGTGCAGGGACCTGCTCCCTCTTCTGCAAGCGTCGCACAGGACACATGATGCTGAGCTGTAAGCAGGAAATGTTCCCTGGTGGCCCGCCTGTCACCCCTCCTCTGTCTCGCTCACCCAAGAAAAAGAAACCAGAAGGCCAATGTTTGACGATATCACAAAGGCCACCTGAATATCCTAACTTCAGCCAGCAGCACGTGCCATGCACCTTCCCACGCCAGGCGCTGGACTCAGCACCAAACACCGCTGCTGCCTCACTGAATCATCCCCGCGGCCCCAGGGGCCAACAGTAACATCACCACTTGGCTTAGGAAAACACCGGACCTCAGAGTGGCCTTCCAAGGCCACGCGGCTGGGAAGGGGCAGAGGTAGGATTTGAATTCAGGCCTCCTGACTCCAGCACTCAATATCCTAACCATGGCGCTGGTGCAGAGGGGCCTCGCCTCACAGTGAGTCTCAGTCTAAAGTCAAGTGCCCTTAAGATTGCCCTGGAGAATCTCAAATGGCCCGTAAATGGCTTCTCCTCTTTACAAGCCCAACACAGAAGGCTTTGCCTCCAACAGAACACACACACGCGCGCACACGCGCACACACACACAATGGATGGCTTGCCTCTAGCGGCCAGGACTTTTGAAAAGACGCGCACCTGTAACCCTTAGC